TGGCAATCGACGTGAAAAAGGCGTTCGATTCTGTGCCCCACTCCACAATCATTGGAGAAGCCCATCGGCTAGGCCTTGCGGGACGGACTCTCAATTTTATCAAGAACTTCTTGGCTGGGCGAACCTTTTCAGTCCGCTGTGGCCAGCATGACAGCGAGCCCAAGCCGAACCGAGTGGGGGTCCCGCAGGGATCCGTACTTTCACCAACCTTGTTCAATCTAGCCATGGCAGATCTACCTCATGAACTTAGCAAAATCCCGAGTCTTGGATTCACCGTCTACGCAGACGATGTGTCCATTTGGACCTACATGGAAGATCTAAAGGTGCAGCAAATGGTACTACAAGCTGGACTCGACACAATCGAAGCCCACTTAGCCCGAGTGGGGATGCGGGCTGCACCAGAAAAGACAAACTATACAGTCGTCACCTCGCCTCGCCTATACAACCGAGGTGAAGACTACGCATCAAAACTGAACCTCGTACTTTCCGGGACACGCATTCAACCATCGACGTCGGTCAAGATCCTCGGTATTACGATCGAGCCGAACGGCAAGGGTGACATTTGGTTGCGCAACACACTCAAGCAAGGCAGATCTGCGCTCAATGTGATCCGCAGGATTTGCAGCGCACGCGGAGGAGCAACTCAAGCCGTCGCAAAGCGAATGGTCAAGACCCTCGTAGTGTCCCGGGTGTGCTATGGGGCGATTCATTACAAGATTACGGCGCGGCAGTGGAAACAGCTTGAAGCCCTGAACAACCAGGCAATGAGGGTTATTACGGGCCTGCCCCGCTTCACCCCTCTCCCGAAGCTGAAGCAGTACGCGCAACTCAATCAAATTCAAGACGTCGTGCGTGCTAGGAAGGATGCACATGAAGCTCGTCTCTGGACAACTCCGCAAGGCAGGGCCATCCAGAGCCTTCGCGGGATCACACGTCCACATCTTCCCGAACTATCGGGGCCGATTCCACCCCGGGAGGACCTCCCGGTGATCACTAGCAGCAAACCACAGCTCCGCAAGAAGGACTGCAAACAGCAAGAAAGACGCGTAAAAGCGCACATCAAGATGGTGGAGAGCTGGCAATACTGTGGAACGACAGTAGCCGCATACACGGACACGGCCTTGCTAGAAGGTCCCATCACCCGAAAATCTGCCGCCGTGGTTTTCCCTCACTTGGAGTTGGAAGCAGCCGAAGCCCTTCCACCTGGGGTGTCAACCAAGGGCGGGGAGCTAGCAGCCATTCGGCTCGCACTTGAGATCATCAGTGAGCACTTTGGCCCCCTTCCTGAGAATCTTCGAATATTTACAGATTCTCAGGAGGCAATCAAGGAGTGCCGCACCCACAACAGTCCCAGCATCCAGGTGCGGAAAATTAAGAAACTCGTCTCGGAACTTTGTTCGCGGAGAGGAGTCACGACAAGAATTGAATGGGTTCCAGGCCATGCTGGAATTCCCGGAAACGAAACGGCTCACCATCTCGCCCGCGCGTCTCTTCTAGCTCCTCCGGGGCAACGAGACGATGAGCCGCCACATCCACGCATCGATCACCGGTACGACCGGACAACTCGCTCTGAGGAGCGGGCTCTGTCACCCGTCGACTGGGAAAATCAGGAGTATGACCCGGCTGAGGAGAGGGCGAGGATCAAAGAAGACATCAAAGCGAGATTAGAGGAGCGCCTATCCGAACCGGATCTTCCCGGACTCCCTTCTAAGGGGTTCGGTCGCAGAGGGCAAGTGCTGCTCACACGAGTAAGAACAGACGCCACCCTATCCCCGGCCCGCCTCGCCTTGTGGAGCAAGGGTAGAAGATCAGCTTTATGCTCCCACTGCGACATGCGAGTCAAAGCAGACATCCGACACTTGATCTGGGAATGTCCCAAATATGAAAACACAAGAGCAATATATAGACCCCAAGACGTTGATTCATTTGAAGGCTGTACTCACCCTCCTGGAAATGAAGACCGACAACGAAAGATTCTACGAAGCCTACAGGACTTCGTCCATGAGGCCAAAGTAGACTCTTTCATCTAACCTGATTTTTATTAATATGCCAGCACCCAGACCTCGAATTCAGTCACCGGTGCCCTCCCCAATCCCACTCCCTGATTATTTTTTGGCTAATAAATCGCGTTCTAATCTAATCTAATCTAAAAACTTGTCAAATCCGTCACGACCCCGTGAAATCCGTAGCCACAGCCACTTTCTGGTTCTAGCAGTTCTAGGCCTAGTTGGCCTAGTCTCCTATGTCGACGCGCAGAGAACGCAAATACGTAGTTAAACAATACGGGAACCACGAAAGCCCGGGCATTAGCTAACATAAAATGTTCGCGCTAGTCCGTTTTTTTAATGAATTCGACGGAAAAGTGTACGTGGTGCCCGTTCGGTGCATTAAGGACTTCCATCCATTAAATGAAAATGACTTTGACAAGAATGGTGTCTACACAACGTACTGGGAAGACCTAGAGAACTCCGAAAATACAGGATCCTACTCTTCGCAGATGCTGCTTCTCGCAAGTAAGTAATTGCATGTTCGTTCACACAACTCATTGTATTATAAAGAGCGTGGTGAGCACATGCATGCGGTGCGTCACGTCGGAGAAACGTTTCTGCGCGGAGCTTAGTGGATATTCTCCCAGCTGTAAATAATGTCTGACATAGGGCGTCCGTCGTCTGCATCGCTGAATGCTTAAAAAAGATTGCAACTGCCTCAACGCTCCGTTTATACTGCCCTGCAGCTAAAGCTACAAGCGCGAGCTAGCCTGCGCTCCAGGCTACGAGACGTGCAGTTCGCACGTCTCATAGGCCATACAGGGCTACGGCATCTATTTTACTTTTATTTCAGTGCAAAAGAAAGGGGCACGGCGCGCATTCCTCGTCTTTTACTTGAAATTGCTATTATGGATCACCAACTAGCTCAATTGTCAACCCCAGCCGACTTTATTTTCCCGGGCTCAATATTTCGCGAATTTGGCAAGGCGAGCAAGAAATTTGGCGAATCGGGGTGGTATGCTATGTATTTGTCACCACAGAGAAATATGTTTCCGTATTATGCACGTTGCGAAATTCGCAAAAATCAGGTCCTCGCGGAAGGCGGAACTTTTCGTTTACAATATATACATTGTAAAGCTTTGGCATAGAAAGTACTAAACTCTGTTGCCTGCACTTTCTAGGTACTATACTAAAAAATGGTGACAGTACTGCTGAACTAATTATTATTAAATTACAGGTTCCAAGGAAGAGCTGGAAGCCAAAAGGGCATTGAAAAGGGTGCACAAGGCTATTATTCACCCTTCGGATTTGGAACAGGGGGAGGGAAGCGAGCATGATGCTCCCGCTTCTCAGAAGCAATCGTTGAAGCTGGTATGTAATGCTCAGTTATGACACTTATTAGTTTGTTTATTTGAGCAACTCTGTGGCTCTTCCCTGAGAGCCATCATGGGAATTGACCTGTGTTAAAATATAGAAAATAAAATAGATGAAATGGACCTGTGTTAAAATATAGAAAATAAAATAGATAAACAACTTATAAAGGAAGTTTTTAAGAAAATGTATTGTTAATGCATGAATAAGACTATCCATTGAACAAAGCATGACTCTAATTACGAAGGGAATTTCAGTCTTGAATTGCCTGAAAAAAAAAAGGAATGTAAATCTTTGAATTGCCCGAGGGAAAAGTGAATTATGAAAAACATTGCGTTTAAATTGGTCTTGTTGGATTAATCTTCCGTAGTTGATATGGGACGACATTGACCAATATATGAATTGGTTATGACAAAAAGGGGAATGTATTTTAATATTAATTTTTATTTAAACAACTTCTCATACTTCTGTGAGCAACTACTATGCTTCATGTTTCAGGACTCCCACCAGACTTCACATGACAAAAAAAGACAGAAGGCTCTCCAGTTGGCATCAAAGAGTTCTGCTTACCAGAGGATATTAGAAGAGCAGCTCGAAAATGCCAAGAAGAAAAATGAAGCTGCCTCTGCTGTACAGGTGTGTGCCGCAATATGCATATCATACATGCTTTCAACAATTGTTTACCTGCAATCTACCAAACATGTTCTCGCTCAGGTCTCCAGAAAAAGACCACGTCCTGCCCCAGAATCGGACAGCAACACCGATGATTACGTTGTCTCTGCCTCTGAGTTAAAGCGCGCACGAACAGAGGCACGGTACTGGCGCCGTCGCTACGAAGAAGTTAACAGAGAGAAGGCGCAGCTCACTAATATCGTCGAAACCATGAGTGGAACTATAAATGGCCAGTTGGCTACGCGTAAGTATAAATATGGTGATCTGATGTTCATAATAGTGCCTGTGATTCTTACAAGCATAGTCTTGGGGACTGGTGTGCCTTGGATAGAAATTTTTTTTAGGTAATTCATTTCTTGATACCACGGATTGTGCACATTTTCATCTTCTTTGTCAAATAGAAAGTTGCATCATAATACTGCTGCTTAAGGCATTGGCGAATTGATAATTTGGTAACTTCACTTTTAACTCTGGGTTGAATTTCTTATAGAGGTTTCTACCAGGGAGTTCAAACTAAGGGGTGGTTTTTCATTTGTTCTAGTTAAGGAGATGCTGGAGTCCAGGGGGCCTGTTCAGCTGCCAGGAACACAGGCAGTTCATCAAGGTAAGGGATAGCGACCTTATACTGAAAGTTACTCCATGTAATTTAATGCTCAGGGCAGTCACAGTTCAATTTTCAGGAATATTTGTGTACACCATGTAACAAATATTTTTCAGTGGTGTATCTATAACCTGGTATCTGTGCTGTACTGTTCTCTTCAGGGACTCGAAGGAGTATGTATCTGTTTCAGTTTGCACATCACTTGAACCGACGGCAGGGCCAAGTGCTTGGAGAACGGTGCCTCCTAGCAACCCCCCAAGGGCCCCTGCCGTTAGTCAGATGGCTCTGCCCCCAAGAAGTCCTCCGAGGACCCCTCCGAGGACCCTTTCGAGGACCCCTCCGAGGACCCCTCCGAGGACCCCTCCAAGATGTCATCTATCACTGACCAACCAGCCCAGGAGTGCAGTGCTGGCCTCACCACCGGCAATAGGTATAATATCTGCATCAGTGAGACACTAGTGTCCCCTAAAATTAATGGAGAAGTTAACAAGATTTTGGTAAAACATACTTATGGAACCTTCACGTCTCCTCAGTGGCTGACCCACGAGCTGCAGGCCATGCACCCTTCACAGATGTAGGCGGTGGCAGGGTAAGCATATAAATAGCATTTCCCTGAGGTTGCCCCTAATTTATGTCTATACTGCTTCTATTCACAGTTCCATCTGAAAAGTGGCATCACTATCGGATCCCACCAGGCAAAAAAAGCCTTGGGCCAACGGAAGCCAGCACTCATGGCTAAGGACATAGCTCAGGCACTTTGGGGACGTCAGGGGCTGGCAGACCGCACTTATGGGGGCAAATTAGCCCCAAAAGACTACCACAAGCCCGACGCCATCTTGCGGAAAGAGATGACCCCTGAGAAAGTCGCTCTTGTGATTGGTAAGTAAAGTCGTGTTCTATTTTATGGGTGCATTACTTGTGCCCGACTGAATTTGCTTGTTGCTACTTTACAGAGACAGTAACACACTGGGGCACGAGGGCTGGGGTCCCAGTTGCAGACGCCATCGATAACATTTCTACCATCCTCTCCCGAAAGATACAAGACGTGCGCAAAAGCCTGAAGCGGCAAAATATGTAGTGTAACCACCTTTGTATATGTCAGTTTTTTTTTATTTACCCCATTTTTTAATGGCAGTATATGGACTATTGGCGATTCCAGTGAAATCGACGCCGCGTAGCGGCAACATTGAGAAGCTCAAGAAAGGAGGTCTTTTAGACTCTGTCGTCTGCTATCACTGCTTGGTTCTCGTAGCCAGCATAGAAACTAACATTGTTTCCAGTAATTATTTTTATGCTTCCGCCGTGTCATTTCTACGCACCGACTAGAAGGTTTTTACCGTCGAAGAAGCGCTTTGCTTTCATAACACACATTTTACGCTGCAGTGGTGGTTCACATGTTGAACGACGAAAACGACTTCCTTTCGTTTGCCATTTTGCCTGACCAACGCGCCCCCTATGGTTTCGCTGGAGTCGTGAATACATTTTTAAAAGTTTTAATTTTATGGAATCAAAACTTATGGTGATATTTGTTTTATGAATTCAAGGTTTGACAGATTTTCTTTCATAGGACTGCAGGTGCCTCACTGTGACAGCCAAATGATTAGAATGTTTAAAAAGGTATCTACTATATTTTAGTTACTAGCTTTCATTTTCCATTTTCATGCCACTTGCACACCTTTTACATTGTATGATGTCCCTGTCACATAAGTTTGCAATTATGAGATGCCAATGTAGAACTCATAAAATTTAACAATATTCTATCCCAGTCATTGTTGCTGTTTCGTCTGCTGGTTTTTTCTTGTTTGAGTAGGACTATGTGTATATTTGTTGGTTTCACTATCATTGTATGCGCCTCTTTCCACAAGGGTGCAGCCTTGAATGTTGACACTTCCAGTATGCATTAAAACAGTGTTTGATATCTCTTCACGTCGCTGGAAGGTGTTCACGAAAAATCTGTGATTTTCACACATTTTTGTTTTGCCTAACCTATATTTCCTCGCATGCTCTAAGTTGAGGTGTCCCATTATTTTGTGTCCCACATGCCAGATATAGAACCCATGTGACCGAAAAACGTCTATTGTTTTAATTTTGTGTGAAGAAGTTGCAGTGTGTTTATTTGTGGCAATTTATCACTGGGAATATTTTTTGTTTTTGTTTGCTGGTCAAGTACCCTGCTTCATTTCTGTTCATGCCTGGTGTTTCTTTTGCATTTTTTTTAATTAACATGTTTTGCAGTTTGCTGCAATACGAGAGGTCCACTTGGAGTCTGTGGCCGAGTTTGCGGCTTCTGGAACTATTACTCACACTTTGGGTAATTCTATGTTTTTGAGCTAATACAATGTTCAGTCAGCAAGTGTCAAGTTAGCTTCAAGGCATTACCAAGCTGCTAACCTCAACACAATATGAAAATTTTTAACAATGTGTGCTATGCCCCCCTCCCTAGCCACCATCCCGGCCTGTTAATTCTCAGTACCTGCATATGTTCATGTAATTTTTTTTGTATTATACATAAGTGATGGATGTTATGACATTATTTTTATGTATGATTTAAAGGCTTTAATAAAACAGATTCCAAACCCCGATTCTGAACTCACTGAAAATCCAGAAGCGGTCTCACTTGCCAAGCGATTCCGCTTGCCAAGCGGTCCCACTTCAAGCGGTCCCAATTCAAGCGGTCCCACTTCAGGCGGTCCCACTTCAAGCGGTCCCACTTCAAGCGGTCCCACTTCAAGTGGTCCCACTAGCCTCCCACTTGCCAGGTGGTCCCTGTTCGATAAACCACTTCAAGTGGTCCCACTTGCAAAACTTTTTACCTGGGGTGGAGCACACATTGGAAATGTGAGCGTCCCAACTCAAGTTTTTAGTACTTGTCACACCAAGGTATTTTACTTGCGTTGATTCCCCAAACCTAACACTGCCAATTGAGTAAGGAAATGTTTTTACTGTCTTTTTGTTTGTTACTCGGAGCACTGTACATTTATTCAAATTTAATGGCATTTGCCACTCCTCGTACCACTGGAATGTTTTGAAGAGTTCCGTTCAGTTTAATTTAATCTTCCCTGGATTCTATTTCTTTATAGACCACACAATCATCAGCAAAAAGCCGTATATTAACCCCTTCACCCGCAGTTTCAACAATGTCATTTATATAAATAAGAAAGAAAATGGGTCCGAGAACTGACCCTTGCGGGACGCCCGATGTGACCGGCAAGGGACCTGAAGAGTGGTGGTTAATTTCTACAAATTGGGAGCGATTTGTAAGATATGATTGAATGAATTCTACTAGGCTGCTTCTCATTCCTATTTCGTAGAGTTTTTGTACGAGTTTGTTATCCGGTACTTTATCAAACGCCTTTGCGAAATCTGAAAAAATGGCGTCAAGCTGCTTTCTTTTATTAATTGCTAGCGCGAAGTCGTGAAATACTGTAACCAGTTGGGTGACCGTCGACAGCCCATGCCGAAAGCCATGCTGTGCACTAGTGAGCAAATTATTGGTTTCCAAATAGTCCGTAATATGTTTGCTAATAATATGCTCGAGCATTTTAGAGCTAACGGAAGTAAGCGATATTGGCCTGTAATTACACACACTTCGTGCATCCCCACTTTTCAATACCGGCACAACGCGTGCACAACGCCAGTCTGATGGAAGGGTCCTTTTTCGCAATGACGGGTCAAAAATCGAATCCCGGAGAAAAGCTCACCGGAGAAAAGCTCACCGGAGAAAACCTCACCGGAGATAAGCTCACCGGAGAAAAGCTCACCGCAAAACCGGCGGATGCGGAGAAAAGCTCACCGTTTTTATTATTTTTTTATATGGAAGCTGTTGGATCATGCGTAACATATATCAATTTATTATCATTAAAGTTCGTCAGCTTTGTCAAAAAGAAAATATCATTTTCTGTATTATTTGCCAAGCTTATTAAGTATATTGCTCCCAAATTAATAATGGCGGGCGAGTGTTTTCTGCGGCTCACTCTCTAGGCAACTAAAGCCTAACTGAAAACTTTATGAACTTGAATAACATGAAAAAGTTCGAAAACTTATGTCTCCCTAAAACCTAAAAATAAAAACTGTAAACACCGAATATCCCAAAGTGCATGCGCAAACAACGCGGTGCCTGAAATTATCTTTGAAGCTTGTATTAACCTTTGAAAACAGGATAAAACAGTCAGTAGGATATCGAGGCTTTTTTCTTCCACGGACATGCACGTTTTCTAGCCGTTCGTGCTGGTGTTTCCGCAGGTTGCCATCGTGTGATAGTGCCCTTCTAAGGTGAGCCACTCATGACTTTCAGAGCTGCACACTGGCACCGTTGTTACTCGTGATCTATACGAGAACTAGTCCTCTGTAAGGTAGCGAATAGGGCGAGTTTGTAAACGTTATACATTATGAAAACCTCTCAAACGACGACGATGGAGTGAAGACAACAAACACGACAGGAGGAAGCTATTCTCGCAACTAAAGTTTTCTTAGTGAAATTAACAGAAAGTAAACAGCGTAGCCGACACTGATTGCATCAACAAATACCTACTTAACTATTAGGCACTACAGAATATTTGGAGCCGAAATGGTTAACACACCGCTATTCATATTAGCTCACAACGAACAAACCTCTATTGGACAGAGCTACCGACGGCGCACCCTCAGTTGTCAATAAATTGTTGTCTTTTTGACCGCGGTGTACGGTGGTCTGATATCATTTTTGCGGCTTCATTATAATGCAGAATGGGTGATTACGAATTTCTGAATAATTAGTAAATCGGCCCAATGGCCTTCAAAGATATTACGAGAAAGAGGACAGTTTTTTTTTGTTTTGTTTTTTTTAATGAAGTGGCGAATGCGAATTATGTTGAATTGCCACGTTTGACGCAGAATCCGCTAAGTTAAAAAAAAAAAAAAAAAAAGAATCGGTGAGCTTTTTTCCGCATCTACCGGTTTCGCGGTGAGCTTTTCTCCGGTGAGCTTATCTCCGGTGAGCTTTTCTCCGGTGAGCTTTTCTCCGGTGAGCTTTTCTCCGCCGCCCAAAAATCATGTACAAGTAACGGGACATCCACTCGGCGTAATGCCTAAGAAATGACTCAACGGTATGTTGTCTGGTCCACTTGCTTTCTTAGTATCCAGATTAAGCAAAAGGTTAAGGATGCCCTCCTGACTCAAACAGAGCTCCCCCACCATCGAGCGTGACTCATTTGCTTCATTGCCTGCCGTTGGCCTTTGAACACTAAAAACAGACTGAAAGTACTGATTAAACACTACCGCAATATCTTTAGGATCCGCCAACAGATGTACACTCAACTTCTTTTGGGATGAGGACGATTCGTCACATGCGCACTCGTCACAGGACGATTGGTCACAGGACGATTCGTCACATAGGAACATTCGTAACAGGATGACTCGTCATGCGGGCAACTGGTCACATCGATCGGGCAGGGGACGATAGTAAATTGTAAATCTCAACAACCGCCCACATTCCCTGATGAGGAGTTTCACGACTTCCAACTGTGACATAAACCAATAGTTAGAAAAACTAATCTTACGATACTCATCCGCTTTTCCTTTCATCATATTACGACTCTTCAGCAGGTTGACCTAAGTTGCTGGCTTGAACGAGCAATAACCCGACTGGCAGCCAAATAAGTTTTTACTTTGCCTTGCATACACCTCTTCGAGAAAACCAATAAGTATCGGAATTCTTTCTGTTGCATGCCTGTGTACGAGTACCCCTCGTGCAGCTGCATGGCTCCACCTCTCTCTGTTGCGATCACCTCCATCCTTTTGAATGTAGCCCGAGTTCGAAAATGGTCGCTTTCATATGGCCTCCCCATTCACCGTTTGGGACGGACCCCATAAGTTAAAACTTCTGCTACAAATTCTTCGACCTTGAGAAGCGAAAGACGTGCTAAGAGAAGAGGTAACCCACTTTGTCAGGCCGAACCAACATTCAATGTTCGGGACCGAACCAGAAGCTAAAACGTTTGTTACAAATTCTTCGCCTTTCAGAAGCCAAAGACATACTAAGATATGAGGTGAGGCACGTTGTCCGCCCGAACCAAATTGAACAATACATTTTCGGGGGGA